CACTTTACCTCACAGCCCATTTAGACGAGCGGGTAGCTGGCCGCCGTGGCCACACCGCACATGTTGTTCTTGTTGCGGGCCATGCGAACGTAGCCATTCTCGCCCCACCTAGTTGGAAGAAAAGATGTGATTTAAATAAAATTGCAAATCACAGTCTCTAAAAGATCACTCACTTCTCCGACCAACTGTTCTTGACGATCCAGTACTCCTGACCGTCTTCATCAGTGCCATAGCCGACGGCCAGCACACCGTGGTCCAGTTCAGTGCTGCTGCACTCAGGCTCATCGTAGATGCCAGAGCTGGTAGTGAAGAAGTTGTTTTTGTTAGATGAAATGAAATTAAAGTTACATATCACAAATTTCAAAGCAGTACCTGTAGAACTGGAATGAGGGCTGGCTGGCGTCAATGGCAATGGAGACCGGTCCGACCGTGGCCAGAGCCTCCATCAGCTTCTGCTCATTACCCTGGGGCACGTCCACAAAGCCGGTGTCAGTGGCGCCCGTGTCCTTCTTCTGGTACCGGCATTTGCCCTCCTGTTTTTAATTAAATAAAAAGTTGTCGTAAAATAATAGAACTTTGAAGTAATAATAGAACTGCTGTCGACTCAATTTACCTTGCCCTCATATGGGTAGCTCTTTTCGGTGTCAATGCCGTGGTTCTGCTTGATGTACTGGAAGGCAAAGTCCATCAGACCGCCGTTGCAGCCGTTGTTGCCGAACTTCTTTGAACAGTCGACCAGATTCTGCTCACTGAGAGAGACCAGTTTGCCGGCCTTTCGAGAGTGCTGTCCCTCCAGAGCGCCAGTCTATAAATAAAGTTTTATTTTAGTCAGCTTGCTAGAAAAAAAATAAAAACACAACTTACAGCACTGAACGACCAGCAGCTGCCGCATTGACCTTTAGAATTGGAAATTAGTAATTAGAAAAGTTACAAATAACTATAAAAGAGCCACTGCCAGAACTTACCCTGGTTCTTAACGGGCGTCACCAGGTTGCGCTGTCGCCAGTCAATGGCCGTGGGGAGGGAGACGTGCTCGGGCGTCATGAAGAGGCTGCCGCGTGACTTGTAGCCGTCCGGGCCGGTCTGGTTCTTCAGCTGGTACTGGTAGCCGTTCATGATGCGCACAAACTCGTGGTGCAGCAGGTCGCCGTAGTGGTTCATCTCCAGCTTGTACGACTTCTGTCCCTTGACGGCCTTCTGGTTGTGCTTCGCAATCAGGTGCTTGTTCTCCATGAACACCTTAAAGCGGAACTCCTCCTCGTCGGAGCCATATTCGCGCTGGTACAGCGTCTTGAAGGCGTTCCACTCCTCCAGCAGAATGTCCCGGTAGTTGATGGCCTCGCTCAGCGCCAGCAGACTCGCAAAAGCGAGAAGAATTGTCGCCCACTGCATCGTCTTCTACTTCCTTCCTGGATTGCAAATTTCAAAAGTGTGAAAGGTGCTGCTGGTTTGAAAGTTGGAAAAGACAAAAGATTAGCACAAGCTGCTGCTGATGCGTTCAAGTGAAGAGTTCTAATCGAACTGACTGATGTTTTTTAGTCGGCTGATTGGTGGTTAGTAGAGAGTTAGAAGTTATTGAAAAACTGCTTGCCTTTGCGCTGACTTCAGTACGACGCAGAAAAAGAAAAAGAAAAAGGGAAAAAACTGCCAAATCGGCCAAGTGCAAAGCGCTGACACTGGTGTCTGATTGAAGGATGCGCTTCGACAAATGTGTCTCTGTGTGTGTCTACTGAAAACGGCGGCGACGACGATGAAGTTGATGAGGACGAGAAGAACTAAATGTGCACAGATCAGCAATGGTGGTGGTGGTGCTTTGTGAGCTGTAGTACGAACGGTGATTGTCCACGTTATCTTCGTTTCAACTTTTTTGCTTCTGGTTCAAAGGAGCGAGCTTTTATTTGCTGAGTGTTGCTGGTGATGTGCTCCTTCGGGTGATGTCGGCACTCTTCGAGGTGGTGGTGGTGGTTGTGGTGGTGATGGTGATGGTGATTGTGGTGATAGTGGCACAGAAGGGCTGTTGGCCATTACCATCCTTATCAACACTGTCACCACTACCACCACCACCAACGACTGTACAGTACACTGGTGATTGGTCACAGGGCAAACATCTGAAGAGAGACAACTTCGAAACTAAATAGCAATCGCTGGCAATTGAAAAAGGGGCACTCAAAAATCTAATTGTGTGTCTGTTTCAACATCCTCGTCAGTCGTCAACTGACAGACAGTAAATGTCTGTTTAGGTATCAGTTGTTTACAGTTCTTTGGTTTGTTTGAACTTGTGTGTGTGTGTGTTGTGCCTGACTGTGTCTTTTTGCGGGACGCCAAAGTGTGTATGTGATTAACACCGGGGAAATTAATGCAAGAGCGCGCTGGAGAGCATCAAAGAGATACGACGTGAAACTGAACCCAAATGGTGATAAGAGGATGAAGAAGAGAGGTGAAGATAAGGGAAATAGGGATAGTGATCGTTCGGAAGAACAAAGACGCCCCCTGAATGTCGACTGGGTTGTTTAGCATGAGCAGCATTTGCAAGGCACTACCTCTACCTCTATCTCATGATCAGCGGGTGGCGACTGAATTGGATGCAAAAACAAAACTACTGTCTAAACTAAACAAAAGTAAGCACTTGTCACAAACGCGTTTTCATCGTTTTTTACTAGATTTGTAGACTGCGCACTTTTAAGTCAAATCAATGAAGTTTAACAAACAGTCATTTTAAAATAAACTAAAATAAAGTCATAATTTAGTTTTTAATATTAAACTAGAACACAAAAATAGTTTTAGTAAAGTTTAATACCAGTCACATTAGTTGTTTCCATTTCCATCCTTATTTTGACCTGCATTGCCGTCATTACCATCCACTTGCGATGCCAACTACCATCATCCTTGTCGGACTTTCTTGTGCCATCGCCGTCATATGACAGACACTCGATAGATAGAGAAGCATCGGCAATGAACGTTTGCTCTCTCGCTTTTTCTTTTTCTTTCATTTTTTGTTGCACTGCTGTTTAGTGATAAGTAAACAGACACAAAACTTCTGATTCACTGAACACAACTACGACGCAAACATACTGTTGCTGGGCGCAGTAAAAAGTGCAGTACAAAAGTGAACAGAAGAGAATTTGGAAAGTTGAACGACAATTGACCGAAGCAAAACTGAAAAAACTGATTGATTTCAGAAAAAAATCACTGACCGATTACCATTGAACAGCAGTCATTAATTCCTTATCACGTTTACAGTTTATTGAAAGAACAAGGAAAATAGCTCATAATAAGCTGAAATAAGCAAAAATAGTGTTTTTGCTTGTTTTAAGTGCTTAGCTGTTGTGCTGGCCGATAATAGAAATAAAAGAAGGAGAAAAGTACCACTGATGCTGACAGATAGAAAAAGAAGGAGGGAAAGAGCATTACGTGTGTGATTGTGTGAAAGATAGAGCTCAAACAAAGTNGAGAAAAGTACCACTGATGCTGACAGATAGAAAAAGAAGGAGAGAAAGAGCATTACGTGTGTGATTGTGTGAAAGATAGAGCTCAAACAAAGTGCAGTGAATTTCCACGCACAATCATGCAAAGTAATAATAACATATAAAGTAGTGTATCATCAAGTTGAAAATAGAAGGGAAAGTAAGGTTTGAAAGCATAGAAAAGAAGTGTCATCAAAAGGGTAATGCCGAGTGCAAGGGTAACAAAAAAACAAAAAATGTGTATGCACATTTGCACTCTGCGTGTGAGAAAAAGGAGAGAAGCTTTTCTTCTGAAATCGTCTTCTCAATCATCATCATCATCATCACTACTACTACTACTACTATCATCGACATCGTCTTTGTTGATGAAATCTAAAAAAGGCTCAACGATGTTTTTTTGCTTGTTTAAAACAGGTCAATGTGTTCACCCCGATCATCAACTGCCTTTAAAACGCTCTGACTGCCTGACTCACTTCAGCAGCATCTTCTTCTTCATCTGCCGTTTCTTCTTCTTCTCCTCCAGCAGGTGCTTCTTCGAGGGTCGGTGCCACTTGTCGTAGAGGTAGTACTGCTCACTGCGGCCACATTCGCCCGGGGCCAGCTCCGGCTCACAGGTGCCCAGCGCCTGGCTGAAGAGCAGTCCCTGGTCGCAGGCCAGGTGGTACGACCACTGCTTGCCCTTGGCCACCGTCACGCAGATGTAAAATTTGGCGCAGTCGGAGTCGACGTCGGCGTAGGCCACACCGGGCACTTTGTCCTCACAGGTGAAGGCGGTGCTTGAGGAGGGGGATGAGGATGAGGATGAATCAGTAAGCGTGGTGGTGGGCAACACCTCGGCGGCGCTCAGCACCACATTGTTGGCGGCGGCAGTTTGCGCGAGGAGATCCTTCGCCAGGGCGTCCACCTCTTCCTCTTCTCGCTCCAGCAGCATGCGCTCGCCAAAACTGGAAAGTAGGCTCTTCTCCTCAGCTGGCAGCTGGCCCTTTCTTCGGTTCAGCAGTGACCACGAGGAGGAAGAGGAAGAAGAGGAAGAAGAAGATGGAACTGGCTGTGACTTTTCATTTACCGATTCACTGCTACGCTTTCGCCGAGACGCCTTTTTGGTTTCTGGGTTATTAGCTTTTTTAGTAATGTCAGCAGCAGTAGCTGGTGAACTAGCAACAGCAGCAGCAGCAGCCAGCTCTTTGCTTTCCTTGGCAATCGCCTCGGCAATGTTTTCAATAATGGCGGCGTGCAGTGAGCTGGCAGCATGAGACAGGCCGCCGCCGCCACCGCCACCACCATTTGCCCCACCATTGCCCGTCTCATTGGCGTAGTCACCGTAGTCGTACTCGTAGTCACTCAGACCAGTGCCCGGCAACGCCCCAGGACCAGCTGGCGGTGGCTTGTGGGCGGGGGGCGAGGCAGGAGGGGTGGTCGTAGAGGTGGTGCTCGGCTGTGGGCTGCCAAAGTTGGTTCGACTGTTTCGGAAGCGGCCATTGTTGTTGTTGCTGTTGCTGTTTGCATTGAACAGATTGCCGTTTGATGAACTTGGGGCCGGTTTTGGCGCTGGGGCAGGTGCTGGTGCTGCTGCTTGTGGTTGCGTTCTCTTTTGAGGTTGCTGGTGGTGTCGTCGCTGACTGCCGCTGATTGAATGGTGGTTATTGTGGTGGTGGCCGGCAAATGAGGTGGCCGGCACGGCAGGCACATCCGGCACCGGCACCGGCAGCGGAAGTGGCTCAAAGGCCGCCTTCTCGTCAATCTTCCCCTGTGCATTGTCGTAGTAGCGAGTGGCTAGGTTGCAGTACACTGAGGAGAGGGAAACAGAAATTTATTAGCAAAAACGAAGGTGAAAAGAGTGGTCACTGGATATTATTGTTACCTTCTTCGTGAGGCCTGCAGACGCGAGTGGCCTGCGAGAAGATGGTGCCGTTTGGACAGGCGAAGGACTGCGGCGACATGCTGCCCGTCGGATTGGGAATGCAGACGTAGTAGACGGCGCACTTGGTGGCCGGGTCGGCGTAGTACTGACCGGGGGCCTTGCCCACACAGCTGAAGCCCGTCTTCGGGTGGTCGTACACGTTGACAAAGACCTCCACCTGACGAGAGGGACCGGGCGATTCGCGCAGGTTAAAGTTGCCCTGCTGGCCGCTGACCAGCGAGGCCCAGGTGATGGCAGCTGCCAGGTAGCAACAGCTCAGCAGAAGGGAATCTAGGTAAAAGAAAGATAGTAGTCAGTTATTTGGTCAGTTGTTGTTGTTGAATTGAGAAGCAGCACACAAAAGATAAGGCTGTTTGATAGGAGCAAAAAACGTACTCATTTTCTTTAAAGTCATTTTCTTTTGCGTTTTGAGATTTTCTCTGTCGACCTTCTCTGGTGGAGAGCACGACAGCAAATAGCAAAAAGTGGTGATCCTCCGTTGATGGTAGTGAAACCCGTCGTCGTCGTCGTCGTCGTTAGTTCATCATCATCCACGGCACCGACACACACACACATAGAAACACACCTTTCTATCTATGGATCGATGTCAGTAGTGCTTTCTCTTGTTTTTCCCTCTCATTTCTTTCTCTCGTTCAGTTTGCATTGAGTGAAACTGACAGAGTTTGAGACCGGTCGAGAGTCGACCATAAGAAGATGATGTTAAAACTGGATTCTCATTCTTAACGGAAAAAAACGATAGAGAGAGAACGAGAGAAAACGAGAGAGAGAGAGAGAGAGAGAGAGAGAGAGAGAGAGAGA